AATACCTTATTAACCTTACCCAAAACCTAAATAACCTTATAGGTGAAGACGGAGTATGTTTAATTTATGGTGAAGAATGACACACAACTTTCTTCTGCGTATAATTTTAAGATAACCTCAACAACAAGTATTCCGCTGAGAATTTCATGGTTCTGTAATAAGTTTACCAGGTAGTTTCGGTTATAAACATAACCTATTTAGCTCTGTAGATTTTCTTGCAAGGCTGGAAATTACATTACTTAAATAAAAACCTATTTAAAACACTTTTAAGGAAATAAACCTTCAGAAAATCCCTACGAAAAAGTCACGTTGGCTCGTCAGTCGTTAAATTAGCTGTACAAAGCTCACGTTTTGTCTTATCTTCCTAGAATTAAACACTTAATCTGCGAAAGAAAATATCAAATTGTGTCAAAAACATTGTAAGCACTTTGGTTCCAAAATCCAAAGCAACATGTCTAATCCTACTAATATTATAAATGAGAAAGTTTTGATGTATGGATGTATGGATGTATGTTTGTGACAAGTAAACGCGAAAACTACTGGTCGGTTCGGGCTGGAATTTGGTGTGATAATAGTTCACATTCCCGATTAACATATAGACGCATTCTTATCTCAAAAGTCCTTTCGGGCTCCGCCCCAGTGGCTCTGGAGTTTCCCATGTTAACCTTATGAGTAATCATATTTAAAAGGAATAAAATAATTTTGTCAGCTGTTTCAACTACACAAGTTGGTTCTATGATATTAAAGAGCATTAAAAAGTTATAAGGTTTACCAACAGGGTGCAGTACTATTAACTTTTTTGCATTGTTTGTCCTCTTCCCGTTGCAAAGCACGGGTACAACAGCTAGTATGACTATAACGCTGAAACCTCAAGAAACATTTGATCGAATCAGTGACCACGCCATGACGAAAATTAAAAACATAAATTCATAATAACAATAAATCAAGCTTAAAATTAAAGAAGTTCGAACTAGGGAAAAAATAAATCAATTACAATACATCCTTGGCTAAATTATTCTTTTACATCCATCCACGTATTTTTCCAAACCCCATAAGAAGTCCGATAGGCCTACCTCAAATTGTAAACTTATAATAGCGTGAACGATAGTTATTATTTCTGTGGGGTGTGAACACGATGTTGGTCCTAAGTGAAGACTTATTGGTAACATGGGATACAACCGCAAATAGACCTGCAACACAAAATAGGCTGTATAAACAAACACAGCCTTCTTAATCATGGTAATGACAGATTAGCTGCAGTACTCATGTAGGCAGTGAGTCAGACTGTTTACAAACACTTCCTCTGGCATAACACAACACTATCAGTAACTTCATCATTGTCTGCGACTAGCCTTATTATTATTACTACTAAATTCCCTCGGACAGTTATTGTTATCATGAAAACAGCTCCCTTTATCCTATTCAAATGCAATGTTCGTTATAGTAGTTTACGCAACGATTGCGTAAAGATAGTGATAACTACACGAGTAGAAAATTTAAGGTACGGCCTTTATTTACGCGAGTTGCGTACACTACTTTACCTACGACAGTGTTTTATTAATTCCTGAAAATCACTACTAACATCTAAGAGGGGTTATGTTTTCGCTTATAACCTCTCATTTCCAAATTTTTTAGCATTGATTTGGTATCCTCATGTAAATTATCTTTCAGATATGATTGAGAACATTCAGAAGAAGTTTTTAAAATTTTTATTTTATAAAGCTTTTGGATTTTATACTAATTTGATGCCATATTCTGAGTTATTAGATATTTTTGAAGTCCCTAGCCTAACAAAAAGAAGTAAATTAAATGCATTACTTTTCTTATATAAACTTTTGGATGGTAGCGTTGACAATAGTGATTTAGCTTCATGTATCAGCTTTGCTGTTCCTCGCCTCACCTCACGAAATGCAAATTTATTTTTTATACCATTTTCAAAAACTAATTTGGGCTTCTATTCACCTCTAAACAACATGTGTAGGTTATATAATTTGTCTTGCCGAGAAGTGGATATTTTTAATGATTCTTTTAGTATGTTTAGATTTAAATTAAATAGTAATATGAATAATTTTTAATGAAAAGTGCCAATTAGTCATGTTTGCTGGTTGCATGTTGTATATTATTGTTTATTTATGGTTCTTTGTTAGTGCATATAGATTTATTTATTTATCAGTAATTTATTTATTCATTTATCTATAAGTAATATAGGCCTAGTTATTTAAAACCAGTTTCAAACTATTTCTATTATTAATATTTTTTATGTGCATGTATCAAAGTTGTATGCTGTTTGCTGTAGGGTAGTTGTCGTGCATGTTATTTATGTTATTGTGTATTAGTGCCTTATGTAATTGGCTGTTAAGCTGTATAAGAGCACTTAATAAAGAATTTTGAATTTGAATTTTGAATTTTGAATTTTTGAATTTTGAATTTCCACTGACAGTGATGCAACGAAATATTGTACCAAACAGTAAAATACACCACTCAACAATTAAATTGGCCTGAACAGCTGATTAGTTGAATTTCGAATCATTACAATTTTACTTCTTCTCTCTCAATCCTTAACCTCATTGGTCCGTTACCCGTGTTGTTATGAGTAAAACTATGCTATGAAAGTAAACAATGCTGTTATGAGATACTTTCCAATTCTAAGAACTGTACTAAAACAGCTACTTTTAAAAACGGTCGTAGGTAAAATACTAAGATTAATTAATTGTTTTAAATTGACAGTGTAGGGAGCCTTAAGTTGACCACAACTGGCTATAAGCCAAATTTGATTTTAGTAGAAGTAACCTTGCAATTCTGCCTAGTAGCAAATAGGTTTTATGAGTAAAAATAAAACGAAACTCAAGAATATTTTTTTTCGAAAACTACCTAGTTTGCAAGATGGGCGAGATGTACGCATTTAAAAAAATTGAAACTTATATTTTTACTAATGTTGAAGTTATCTTTATGAAATTTGCTATACGATTTAGTAGCAATAGCTATTAAAACAAATAATCGATTGTTTGATTTCAAATGGTGGTCATTTAATTTTTATAACTTAAATCAGAAAAAAGTGCTGATTTCATGAAAAATGACGAGAAATATTTTATTTAACCTTTTAAATTTCCTATAAAAACAGCAAGTTAAAGATAGAATCATCAATAACTGAAAACAAGATTTTTAGGTATACAGGTCAGAGGAAAAAGGCCATGCAGGTTGTGTCTTATTTTCATTTTAAAATGGTGATTTTGTTGGCCTTTTGCCATTTCGTATAGTGCTTTATTTTGTTTACCGGGAAACGGCAAAGCAAATAAAGCATTGGCAAGCATTTCCCGAGTTACTTAGTGACAATATTACTGCAATACATTAGGTTTTGCCGATTATACAGGGTGTCCCGTAACTCTCTGGACACTTGTATATAGCGTTATTCCTTAGGTCAAGACAAACACATTTCACCATAGGAACATGGGTCTGTGGTGTCTAGTTTACCGACTGTCGGTATTTAAGTGTTTTTTTTTGCAAAAAAAAACTAATAACTCCTAAACAGTTTGAGATACAGCTTTGATATTTTGCATAAATGTTAATATTATTAAGACCTATTATCGTTAGAAATTATACTAAAAAATCATTAACCATTTCAAAATGGCGACAATTTAAAATATTTGATGCCAAATTTCACGAAAACCGTTAACTTTACAAAAAAATTGCAAGAGACAAAAAAGTTTGTAAATTGTATGTAATTTTCAATGATATCTTATTTGTTAAGATTGGATAAATAACAACAGAGAAATGTCTTCTTTTCTAAATGCATGACCACTTTTCTCCATTTAAACAATGCTAAACAACGTAAAAGGAGTATTAGCATTGTTTAAATGGAGAAAAGTGGTAATACATTTAGAAAACAACACGTTTCTCTGTTATTATTTATTCAATCTTAACAAATGGTATCATTGAAAACAACATAAAATTTACAAACTATTTTGTCTCTTGCAATTTTTTTGTAAAGTTAACGGTTTTCGTGAAATTTTGCATCAAATATTTTAAATGGCCGCCATTTTGAAACGGTTAATGTTTTTTAGTATAATTTCTAACGATAAACATTTTTGCAAAATATCAAAGCTGTATCTCAAACCGTTTAGGAGTTATTAGTTTTTTTGTAAAAAACACATAAATACCGACAGTCTGTAAACTAGACACCACAGACCCATGTTATTATGGTGAAATGTGTTTGTCTTGACCTAAGGAATAACGCTATATACAAGTGTCCAGAGAGTTACGGGACACCCATAGTCCCTGTCAGTGTCAGGGATAAGATCCCAGCATGTCCAGGTTGAGAAAAACTACTTCTCATCGACAAGTATGGTATTTGAGAAAAACCACTTTTTGTCATCAACGAAATGCAATTAACATTAAAATGTATATACTTCGGATCAATGTAGTTTAAACAAACTAGATGTATGACTCATTGTCTCTCAGCTACATAGATCAATTCTGACTACAAACGGTTATATGTTGCTTGGATTCTCTATCGAAATACAATATCCATTAGTTTTATAGTTTATTTCAAATATGAAATTCAAATCCAGATGCTCGACTAAAGCACTACCAAAGAAAATGCTGAGAGTTTCAGACCTGACCATACTTGATCCTGGCTAAAGAAAATTGTAGGTATAGAGGACATGGTGCTAGAACAGCCTCCTAGATCACTAGACCGAAACATCACGAAATGTACGACTAAACAAACCTTGATCCTTTAAACCCCTCGACCCTCATGTGATTGCAATGGCTGTAGCTGTCGTCTGAATTCCCTCGTCCTTTGCAAAGGATTCGGTTCAAATAATTAAGACTAACAATCAACAACCAAGCCTACGCACAGGCATCCATGTAGGAATATCCCACAAGCGCGTCGGATTTCATCTCACGCAATTTGTACTTAGTATCTTCTTTGTTTGTCCATTATTTAATGTTATGATAATTGGAGATAAAAGTATTTGGTCAAATTTCATGTGTTGTTTCAGGGGCTGGAACATGTGATGCAGATTGGGTACATGATCATCGTCGTGTCCGTCCTGCTGATGGTATGGGCCTCCATGATAGGAGCCACACATCAGGTAGGTCCACGGTGTAAAACCAAAACGGTGTAGTATTGTGGGAGGTGGTAGAATGTGTTGACATATTAGGATTAGTCTAAGATGATGACGAAGGACCTGTGTGTCACAGACCTTTCAGGGTGTATTCAGCACCAAGAAACTTGACCTTGGCCATATGGTCGAAGCCATAAAAGAACTCAATGTCAGAAACGGTGTAAGCACTGAGGGTAGGTCACACGTTGACCTGACCTGAAGTATGTGCCAAACATTCCCAGACCTGTGTCCAAAGTAAATGAAATAGAATGAAAAAAAGTTTATTTACAAATACAAGATTACACTTAACCTGTACAGAGTAGATGTTTTTGTTGTGAATAGTCTGATAAATTGAGAAGACACACACTTTTAGGCTGCCTACCTATTGTGTGAGTAACATAATTTTAACTATATTCCGAGTAAATATTCTTATGATTATTGGACTTTTCTTGAAGTTAATTAAAGAAGTGGGAGACACATAATGTTAGGTATAGTCACCTCACACCTAATAACACCTAACTCTGTCATAGGTGACCCACCATCACCGTGACATAGACTACCCTCCGTGCGTGTTCAACCCCCTGTGTACCTGCTCCAAGGCCGTGCCAGACCTGGGTATAGTCACCACACACCTAATAACACCTAACTCTGTCATAGGTGACCCACCATCACCGTGACGTAGACTACCCTCCGTGCGTGTTCAACCCCCTGTGTACCTGCTCCAAGGCGGTACCAGACCTGGGTATAGTCACCACACACCTAATAACACCTAACTCTGTCATAGGTGACCCACCATCACCGTGACGTAGACTACCCTCCGTGCGTGTTCAACCCCCTGTGTACCTGCTCCAAGGCGGTGCCAGACCTGGGTATAGTCACCACACACCTAATAACACCTAACTCTGTCATAGGTGACCCACCATCACCGTGACGTGGACTACCCTCCGTGCGTGTTCAACCCCCTGTGTACTTGCTCCAAGGCGGTACCAGACCTGGGTATAGTCACCACACACCTAATAACACCTAACTCTGTCATAGGTGACCCACCATCACCGTGACGTAGACTACCCTCCGTGCGTGTTCAACCCCCTGTGTACCTGCTCCAAGGCGGTGCCAGACCTGGGTATAGTCACCACACACCTAATAACACCTAACTCTGTCATAGGTGACCCACCATCACCGTGACGTAGACTACCCTCCGTGCGTGTTCAACCCCCTGTGTACCTGCTCCAAGGCGGTACCAGACCTGGGTATAGTCACCACACACCTAATGTCACCTAACTCTGTCATAGGTGACCCACCATCACCGTGACGTGGACTACCCTCCGTGCGTGTTCAACCCCCTGTGTACTTGCTCCAAGGCGGTACCAGACCTGGGTATAGTCACCACACACCTAATGTCACCTAACTCTGTCATAGGTGACCCACCATCACCGTGACGTAGACTACCCTCCGTGCGTGTTCAACCCCCTGTGTACCTGCTCCAAGGCGGTACCAGACCTGGGTATAGTCACCACACACCTAATAACACCTAACTCTGTCATAGGTGACCCACCATCACCGTGACGTAGACTACCCTCCGTGCGTGTTCAACCCCCTGTGTACCTGCTCCAAGGCGGTACCAGACCTGGGTATAGTCACCACACACCTAATGTCACCTAACTCTGTCATAGGTGACCCACCATCACCGTGACGTGGACTACCCTCCGTGCGTGTTCAACCCCCTGTGTACTTGCTCCAAGGCGGTACCAGACCTGGGTATAGTCACCACACACCTAATGTCACCTAACTCTGTCATAGGTGACCCACCATCACCGTGACGTGGACTACCCTCCGTGCGTGTTCAACCCCCTGTGTACCTGCTCCAAGGCGGTGCCAGACCTGGGTATAGTCACCTGCAGGGACGTGCCCCTGCCTAGGATACCTCCCCCCATCAACAGCAGCAAGGTGTTCATGCTCAGCCTGGACAACAACGGCCTCAACTACCTCGAGCCTCACTTCCTAGAGGGAACTGGTATGTTTACAATAGACAGATAGTGTACGTGTAATGAAGTCAGGGCAGATTATATCCATTGAAAGAAGACATCTCAACATATAATATAACTTTATCTCCACTTGTCATCAGGACTAACAAAAACTCCACTTGCTCGTACACTGGTGCTCGATTAAAGGTCGATTCACACATGTCAGTTACAGCACGTCACGGTTCAGACATATCAGTCACGTCACAGTCAACAAAAATATTCCGATTTAAACAACAAAAGCAAGGATTTAAATCCTACCACTGTAACTGACATTTCTTATTTTAATTTAATTTAAATTATGTTGACCGCTACACAATTATTTTTTTATATTTTCCATTAAACAAAATTACAAAATCGTTACACGATGTACTGTAAACTCTGTGATCCACAAATGTTCTGTGCGTTCTGTTGCGCCGTAAATTGCACTGGCGTGGTGACTGGCGTCATGCGTGTGAGTCGCAATCCGCAATAGCGGCCTACCACCTGTTTTGCGCATGCCGAGGTCAAAGTTTCCTCCCTTGCTACACGGGAAAACACTTATTTATTTTAGCTTCAATTTGATGTACAAAACTTTTGGTTACCTTGAATAGTATCCAAGCAATTACCATTTAAAATCCCGGCATTCTTTTATAAACACCCTGTATATTTGATGGCCACAGCCGAAGCTTACAAAAGGAATAATAAGCAATAATAAGTAACAATAAGGTGGATCAACTGTGGTCAATATAAATGCCTCTCAAATTAAGTTACATAACCTCATTCATGCAAAATACCGAGGAAATTTTATACATTATGTTTCTGTAGTCTAATGTGTTGAAATGCATTGTATATTTAACTATTTTTGACCATCATGTATATGCAGTAGGTTCCCACATTATTGTTTTTGAAACAGTTTATTTGGCAAAAATAAAATGGAAGCATAACAAAGAAATATCGGCTTATAGCATCAAGGTCAAGCTATGCAGTTGCACTGTCAGACGTCTGCCCCTACACACACATCTGTCTGTCTTTTGTTTACCGTCACAACGGTAGACGACATAAATAATGCTTGTGATTAAGTAATTACCATGGCAACTTGTTGAATGTGTAGATGAAGAGAAACCCAAGAATGAATGGAATATCAAAGAGAATGAATAAGGCGATGTTTTATGTCATAGGTTCAGTAGTAATAAAAACTACTAACAAGGTTAATGACAACTTATCACGATTGCGCGATACTTCTGAGTATTTTGATTGTATGAAACGCAAATTAATCATCAAAATAATGACCATTTATTCAGTATTTTAGGAGATGTATGGGTTTTAATATATTTTTATGTCATGCTGGCCTCCCCATTACCCAGGGTAATCGAGTTCTACATATTATTGTACTTTCAAAATTCAAGACCGAATATTTTAGTATTAGAGCTATAAACATTCCTGATTTTACTGCTACTAATGGTTACTTTACCGCGATCACAGACATAATGATCATCTTCAACGATCGCGGAAAAATCATTTTGTTAAGGGGGGGGGGGTATGACACCCTAAACCCTCCCCCATTGGCTACACCACTGGTTAAAGTAGAAATCGTAATTTAGAGCGAATGTTGTTACCTCGCACTCCCGAACAAACCTTTAATTATCAAACTTACTAGAATCTCAACCCATTTACTTATACTTATACGGTTTCATTAAATAATGCTCGAAAACGCTCAAGCTCAATTTTAAACCGGACAAATCATCATCGTTTCCCGCGATCACGGAAACTTTATTGTCGCTATTCGTAATCCGTGATCGCGATGAAAGCGTGCATTTTCTATCCCGCGATCTTCTCAGACGTGTCTGGTTGTATCGGTATCGAATCTTCACGATCGATTTTCGATATCAAAACTGACATCAATTAATCGGTGGCAGCGAAAACCATCCTTAAACGATCAAAGACATAGTTATAGAAGCATAGCCTACGAATTAACCGTTTGTTTATGTACAGTCACACAAAACGAGTTTTTTAAATTCAGTCTAGTAAACGTTTCGCTTTCTTGCATGGGTAAACTTTCAATCGTTTGCAGCAGTGTCAAGTCTGTTCGTAGACTACAGTGCAATGTTGACCGTGAAATGCCCTGGTGAGAAGCGGCTTGTGATGTCTGTACCCGGATCTAAGCCCCTCAAGTGCTGTAACACAGTTAGTATAATCGATAAGGATGACTTACAGTATTTAGAATACTTACAAGTGATCTTCCTGTGCCTGTGTTCTAAATTAACCTCCAATAAGTTGCTTGGAAGCACAACACAATACGAATCAGGTTAAACATCAATTCGCATTTTTAATCTTAATCCTACAAGATTGTTGTTATAAACTCGAACTTGTTTGAGTGACATAATTATTAATTTTACCATCACATGTGTTTAGTGGATAACCGTTAAGTGTTCGAGCACTGTATTCAGCATTTATCGTTTATATTATCGTACGGTAGATCATTTTGATACTACTGAAACCAGTAGGATACTTTCAGTGGCTTCTTTGTCGACTAACAAGACTTCAAAATCAAAAATCCTATATGATTTTGAATAAACCGCTTGGTTTTGTCTAAGTTTTGATTAAGTTTGCCTGTTTTTTATTGAATAATTTAAATTATTATACATAAAACACAGCGGACTGAGATTATTGAGTAGTTGGAGCTATCTAACGGTGAAGAGACGAACTAGCTGTGGAGGTCCGCAACACCAACAGTTCACCTAATCACCGCTAGATGTAGCAACTGTCGTACGTCTCTAACAGTTCGCCTCTTCACCGCTAGATCTCAGTCAAATAGATCTCAATCCACAGTGTTATGTTTTATTTATTTAATCAATCATTTTAATAGTTAAATGCAAACAGGAGCAGTTAACTAATTCAATAACAAGCTGTTTATTCAACATCATGTACGCATTTCGATTTAAAGTCGTGTTAGTCGACTAAAACGTCTTTGTGTCTTTTGGTTCCCGCAGTGAAAATCGAGTTTCTAACACACATAAGCTCTAAGTCTCCTGAAACACTATCACTCAGCATAGCCGAGAAGTATGTGCTCCTAGTGAGCAGGAACTTCGAGAGAAGTGGTGTTAAGCGCTAGGTGCTGAAGCAAGTCGCCACAGTCATTCAGACTTGGATTTGACTCAAAATTCAGCACAGCCTAAAGCACCGCGCTCTATTGGGCTAAGATTTGTGAAGGCTGTTACTCGCCCCAGGGGTCGAGGAGTGGCCAGTAAACTTATTAATCCTCTATGTACCTAATTAATTACATCATTCTCATATTTTCGTCCGTCACCTAATCCTCCAACTACGGTATTACATTGACATTCGTTACTTGTGTTCAAATGATCCCGTTATTTTAGATTAATTTACAGGTTGAAAGTCATAATGGACGATTATTATCACTTTAATTTTAACTCTATTTCTTTGTTATGTGAATGTGACTATTTTGAGGTAAATGCATGTACGCCTGTTATGTTCTTAATACTAGGTATAGAAATTGTTATTTTTTACTAATCTTCATTTATGTTAACTATTTAACACCACAAATTCTTTAGATCTAATAAATTACTTAGGTTTGTTTGTTTCTTTCAACGATTCATGATCTGTTTGAAGCACATCATGGTATGTTGAAATGGTTAAACATTGATAACCATTTCAAAATAAAATTTTAAATCCTAATCGTACAAGATTATTGTTATAAACTTTAAGTTATTTGAGTGGCCTATTTATTAATTTTACAATCAACATTGCATTATTTTGAGTTAATAAACATAAAATTTTAGAGCAAAAAGTGTACACCGGATCAGCACTGTATTTAGCATTTATTCGTATAATTTACTATTCCAGCCTCGAAATTCCCTCCTTGTCCCTTAAGTTATGTATTTCCCCCAAATATTTCCCCAAAACAAAGCATTAATCTTGGCAACGTTTAGAGTATGTCATAGGCAACCAAATAATAGGTAAAATAAATAAATATCTTGAAGTGAACTCCCATTGATGATGATTTAAAAGTTATTGTTCTTTAAAAACAACAACCATTATAAACCAGTTTTTCAGGGAATTTCTTTATAACGAAATTATTAAATAAATAATATGGCTAAATATCCTTTAAGTAGGCTACATGAACGTGTTTTAATGTTGGGTTTGATTTTATATATCCAATGATTGCAGTAAGTACTCTTGTACTGAGTTAACGTTAAATCAAAGGTCAAAGTTTCACAAGTTGATGACAAATTGGGTCGGTCCCGGGCTTGTTACCGGCGCAGTTAAATGGTTCGTAATCTAGATTACATTTGATCATAGATGCAACAAAGGTGATACAATTTCCCTAACAATCAAATTAAATATACAATTAATTAACAAAGTCTTGATAAATAATGCACGTTTAACTCTTAAAAACACCCATCGCAGCAAACCTGCAGACTAAGCGAATTTACGTTTATCTGATTTTATTTGAAACCTATTGAAATAACATTAGGTGAAATGGTCGGTTTAACACCGCTAAAAGTAACCATGTAATAGAAGATCCTCCAACCAGCTCTATCGGTAGTAGTTCCTAAAACATTCTCTCTGTTCCTCTTGATTTGTTGTTATCTGTTAAATGTTATCAGAGCCATTTATTGTCGTTGTTACTTATTGTTTGTTATTTTTGTTATGTTAAACTTCAATTGTTATTGTCTTTTTCTATTTACTGTTAAACAACTTTGTAAACTGGCATGTATCGTTGGAAGAATAAGAGTAAATAAATATATTAGTATGTTCTGGAACTAGTATTTGTACAATGTTACTAAACAATACCCCCGCCGCAGCAAACCTACCGACTAAGCGAATTTCTGTTGCCTGAATTGATTTTCAATTAAATGTATTTAATTAACATTAACTTTTATGAGTACATAGGCTTGCTGCTACAGGGAGAGTAAAAAAGTGTGTTTTTAGTGAAATATTAATAACTTAGTATAAAGTAAATAAATTTACCAAGTTTTATAAAAATATATCC